AAAGCATGCATTGTTAAAACAAAAAGAAATAATATAGTTATGATTTTTAGAAACTGCCGTAAGCTAGATTTGTAAGTTTGAAATGTTTTTTTTTTTTTTGTAAAGGGTAAGGAATGCACCATTCTTCAGAACTTATCCTTGTGGCTCTCGGCAAAGTTGCTTTTCAACAGAATTCGTTCCTGCTCTTTCTGGTTGCATTCCCCCCTAGTCTTAACTTTTTCTAATGATTTTGCTCCTCCTCTTGCATCGAGGAGTGGGCCCTCTTTGTTTAGTACGACTTTTTTTCACAGCTGTCATGAGTCTGATTTTACTTATTGTGCACATCCGCAGTTCAGTTTGAAATATTCAGTAAAATTTGTTAACCTTTCAATTCATCGAGTATCAGCTAGTGCACAAATTACGCGCACTAATGATATAGAAGAATTCGTTTCGCAATGGACTTCGTGCACTCCCTGTATTCTATTGGTTTTGCGTTGCATTCGTCACATTTATGGTCACATATCAAGGATCCAAACGTATGCTACTTCATCCTTCTTTTGCGCTTAAATTTGTTGGTGAAATGAATGTTTCAAGAATCTGCGTTGTTGCCCGGATGACAACCTGTCTGCTGCTGGTCGGTGGCTAAAAGTAGAAATTGAAAAGTTGAGTTTATGAAGTCAGGTCAAAAATTTCGAGTCAAATGACAAAATATCCTGTGAAATCGTTAGAGTTTGGCCTACCTTACTGACATTATTTAGAAAACGATAATATCTCGTCGATAGAAGTTATGCTAGTGAATGACGGCACTTGATTCAATGCTATCGCTTAAGCTACAAGCAGCTTAGCGACTGAAGCAGGGAGAAAACTAAACAAAAGTTTGAAACTATATATCGCTTTGTAGTTGAGTTCTTGAATTCCAAAAAAAGTTTTCGAAGCACAATTTTAGTGCTGCATTTGCGTACATTACCACTTTGGGCTTGCATTTGCGTGAGTTTTGGACTGGCGACAGCAACAGCCCTTATCGTTCAATTCTTCATGGTACCTCGACTCAAATCATGGATACAAGGTTGATTTGTTTGCTACAAATAATTTCTAAATTATGCTTTTTTTTATTTACTGAAATGTGGGATGACACCAGAAAAAATAAATTTTTGCAGAAAATTCAGGTGATACATATTTAAGCGGTCTGATTTTTCGGAAATTTCAATTTGAAAATTCGTCCACGAATTTTTTGAATTGTATGTATAAATTTGGCCATGAGGT